CATCGGTAGGGATCAGGTCCGAGGTTTTGACTCGAACAAATCGGCTCATCCAACCTCAATCATGAGTTTCGTCTATACTCGAGAACAACGCTTTGGTGGCTCGGCGAGCAAGCTTGATTAACCCTTCTGATAGAGTCGGGGACTATAAAGGCGCATAAGGTGATCGAGGGTGAAAAAATACCCCACGATTTTGCTTGAGAAGAATCGGAGGAGAATCAATATTCTCCAAAAAGAAGGGTGGATCTGGCCAAGGGTCACATCATACCTTTTGCAAAAGGCGACGATGACAGGATCTAATGGGCCCAACGTAAATGAATAAGTATAAACGCTTAAGATCCCTTCCACGTGGGTAGTAATTAATTCCTCAGGTGATGGGACTACCACGTGTTTGTCGCCCAGTTACATTCCTGTTTTACTTTGTCGAGAATTTTCTCGGTGATTGAACACTGGTAGCTCGAGATCGGCTCACATCGTCCTGGTACCGAAGAAGGTTTTTCAACCTTAAAATCGATGACAGTTGAGCACCTTACTGGAACGAACTCCTCGGGGCGAGGCTCCGCCGCATCCTCGCCGCCGATAGGTCATGATGAAGAAACGACCTTTTTTTGCGGCACCGTTTTGGAGGTTTTCGCCATTGATGAATAAAGGAAAAGAGAATTAGTGTTGTATGCGATGTAAAATGTATGAAGCAGAGGGATTTTCTGAAGAAGACGCAAGAATAGAGAAGAAGCTTTTGAGTGAAAAGTTTGGATGGGGATGAGAGTTTGAATATTTATAGCCTGGTGATGACGGTTCAGTCCCGGTAGTGGCCGACCAACGACTAACAGACATTTAATGCCTTGATAACTGGACCGATGGGACATTTGTAACATACGTCATAATCGGGCTCGTCGCTAATATCATCATCCACCAAGTCGAAGTTCGGAAATTCATATCGTTTCTCGTCATCTTCTTTTCGAGAAACGAGGGAACTATCTTTATACGGTCAAAACCGAGTCTGCCGTTCTTATTATTAATTAAGATTGGAACATGATGGCCGAAGGTTCATCATTGTAATATCGAGCCATGATGCGAAGTTAGGTTGTCGAGCTCGAGCCCCAGAGACCGATCAATATCGAGCTCGAAACCCATAGACCGATCAATACCGAGATCGGTCAAGATCGAGCTCGAGCTCCAAAGACCGATCAATATCGAGATCGGTCAAGGTCGAGCTCCAGACCCAGAAACCGATCAAGATTGAGATCGGCCAAGATCGAGATCGAACCAAGAAACAAAAAAGCCGTTATAGCTGCAATTGGGGGGAGAATCTCGGTGGAATCACGACTTGAATCAAGTAAAAACTTATTAATTAATCTATCATGGGATCTACACTATGTATTTTTAGTTATATCCAAAATGGGATTCCCCCACTATATTAAGAGTTGTTATCATTTGTAAAACACACATTCATTTTGAGATATACAGAAAAGAGAGCAAATACTATCCTTTTTTGGATTCTATATTAAGTCATATTGTTTCTTCTACCAATCGTTCTTCACTCAATTTAGAAGTGATAAAACTTGAAGGATTAGGCTAACTAGTTTATTCGATTTGCATCCATTTCTTTTATAACTAATTTCGATATTCATTTACATATCTTTCTCAATTTGTATCAATTTATATCACGTATCCTTAGAACTACATATAAATTCAACTCTATCCGTTTTTCGGGTAAACACCATGCAATATTACTCACTACATAATAATTCCTACATATCATTCGCCGTATTATAATTCTTGCGTAACTAGACCATAGACCAAACGACCTATAAAATTATATGCAAAAAACTAGAGCAAATATCAGATCTAGTAAGTAATAATATACACAATATATTTATTGAAGTTTATACTTTGCTCTAACAAGAGGAAAATTACTCCTTCCATATCTATCCGCTCCTCATATAAATAACATCAATAAAGGAAGTGTCACGACCCAAAATCTAATTAGCCGTGATGGCACCTAACCTCACCCGCTAGGTAAGTCAAATAACAATAATGCGATTCAATTAATATTTAACTGACTCTACTACACTCCCCAATGACTGGTAGTACAAATCATGAGCATCTAAGATTAGAATTTACAAGCTGGTATGAAATAAATACATCATCTGTTCGAAATGTACATAAATAGATTTTTATAAATCTAAGGCTTCCATGAACAAGAGACAGCTAAGATCGGAACACAATACATCTTCAAATCCAGCTCCCGTCGATCACAGCAACATCTGCTACATCTTCAAATCCAGCTCTCGTCGATCACAACAACATCTACATCCAATATCTGCACGCAAGGTGCATACTCTCAGAGTATCAATTCACTCACTCCTCCCGGTCACTCCGTTCTCACAGTCACTCAATCCTCCCAATCGCTCGGCACTAGGCAATCGCACTCGATAGGTACCTGCGCTCACTAGGAGTGTGCACATACTCCGGAGGGGTTCATTTAGCCCAAGCGCTATAATCTGCACGGACAACTCACGTGCTATAGTATCAACATCTGGATCCGCACGAACAACTCACGTGCTGCACGGACAATTCACGTGCTATAGTATCAATATCTGAATCCGCATGGACAACTAACGTGCTATATTATCAATATCTAAATCCGCGCGGACAACTCACGTGCTATAATAAGCCAATCTGGTCTGCTTCGGCGTGCAACCCGATCAATAAATATCCTCATAATCAAGCCCTCGACCTCACTCAGTTATCAATCTCTCTAGTCTCTCGAGCTCACAATGTCATGAAACTAGCCCAAAATGATGATATGATGTATCAATAAATAACAGCAGAGACTGGGATATGATATGCAATGAATAAATATGAAATTACAGTTTAAACATATAATTCGACAATAGAAATGACCTCATCGGGTCCCAATAATACCAACCTTTGCTTAAGCATGATTTCTAACATGAGTCACAACTCAGTTTCTCTAACACATAAAAATATATGGAAGAATACAAATTAATTGACTAAACAGATCTACGGAATCAACTGAGTCTCAATTTCTATGGTGCACGCCCACATGCCCGTCACCTAGTATGTGCGTCACTTCCAAACAATTCACATAACACGTATAATCAGGGTTCATACCCTCAACTCCAAGATTAGAGATGTTACTTACCTCGAACAAGTCGAATCCAATGTCGAGCAAGCTAAACAACGCTCTAGAAATTCCATTATGCGTGTATCAACTTCCGAACGGCTCGAATCTAGTCACAATTAATTCGATTCAGTCAACACAAATTATAGGAACTAATTCCATATCAAAATACTAATTTTCCCAAAAATCCGAAATTACAATCAAAAATCGCCCGTGGGGCGCACGTCTCAAAACCCGACAAAAGTTACAAAATATGAATGCCCATTCAACCATGAGTCCAACCATACCAGTTTTACCAATTCTGACATCAACTCGACTCTCAAATCCTCAAATTAAACTAAGAGGGTTTTCTAAATTTTCCAACTTAATTCGCCAATTAAATGTTAAAAACAACCATGAATTCGGGTAATTTGATCAATATTTAGTTAAGAACACTTACCCCGATGTTTTTCTTAAAAACCTCCCGAAAATCGCCTCTTCCCGAGCTCCAATTCGTCAAAAATGGAAAATGAACAAATCCTCGATATTAATTTTTTTTTGCCCAGTTGTTCTGCCTCGTTTCGTGTGCCAAAAAATCCCGAAACTCTCTTTTGATGCCTCCAATGGATTCCTTGTAAAATTGCAGTCAAGTTAGGCTTTTGAATCACCCAATTTGGCCCGAACATGAGGGAGATATGATATTTTGAAGATTTAAATGAAGTGTGAAAATTTAAGGGATAAAAAAAATGACATTTTCGTAATTATTTTACACCAGAAAATCAGAAACAAAAGAATTTTTGTTTTAGCACCCAAAACTCATTCGGAGCCTCTCGGACACAAACCATATATGCATTTCAATCATAAAATACGCTATAAACCTGCTCGCGCACTCAAAACACCGAAAAGAGATTATCTTGACCCGGTATTGACCATGGTCAAACTCCAAATCTTTAACTTAACTACTTTCTCAACCAGTGATCCAAAATACACCCGAGCCCCTCGAGACCCCATTCAATCATACCAACAAGTTTTAAAACACGATACGAACTTAGTCGAAATCTCAAATCACATCAAACAACGCTAAAACCACGAATCATACCCCAATTCAAGCTTAACGAAACTAAGAAATTTCAACTTCTACATTCGATGCCGAAACCTATCAAATCAGGTCCGATTGACCTCAAATTTTGCACACAAGTCATAAATGACATAACGGACCTATGAAAATTTTCAGAACTGGATTCTGACCCCGATATCAAAAAGTTAACTCCCCGGTCAAACTTCCAAACTTAAATTTCAATTTTAACAATTTCAAGCCTAATTTAACTACGGACTTCCAAATAATTTTCTGAATACGCTCCTAAGTCCAAAATCACCATACAAAGCTATTGGAATCATCAAAACTCCATTCCGAGGTCAAATTCAAAAAAGTCAAACTTGGTCAACTCTTCCAACTTAAAGCTTCCTAGTTGAGAACCGTTCTTCCAAATCAATTCTGAATAACCTGAAAACCAAAACCGACGATTCACACAAGTCATAATACATCATACAGAGCTACTCATGCCCTCAAACTATCGAGCGAAGTGCAAATGCTCAACACGACCGGTCGGGTCGTTACAGGAAGGAAATTACATTTACTTTTACATTAGTAAGATAAGTGGTTAATAAACTTTTGTTACCAGATTTTAGCGGAGGCAAAAAATACTAGATTATTTCTGTGTTGGTGGGAGATAGCAAGTACCCCACGGGATTAGTCCAGGTGCGCGCAAGCTGACCTAAACACAACGCTTATTTTTGTTTTTAAAAAAAAGAAGCCCTTTACTAATATATGCTAAGGCTATTTTACAATGTTTGTCTAACACCATAGAGTAGCTCATGAAACTTGAATAGGAAATTCAAGTTACAATAGGAAATATTGCTTCCTCCATCAGAAAGAATTTTCAGTTTGTTCCCAACAAAACCCTAGGAACTGACTATAAGTAAACCAACTATGCAGAAAAGCTATACACTCAACAAAGTTGTTTATTTTTCCTCTGGTTCTTTAGGTTGGTGAATTGCTTCCAAACACTCTTTGGCTCTATGAACCTTTGACTGAAGGTAAAAGCTCCCGTTTTTAGCATTTCGCTCAAACAAGTTTTCATATCTCTGCAGACAGAGCAAGCAAAGTTGAGATCACGCATATGCAAACAGCAGCATCAAATACGAAAGATCATTAACCTGCACGATTTCTTCCCATGATGAATTCTCAGTGACACCGAGAATCTGCCTTGCTTCTGTTTCGGTCATGGTTTTACTAGCTCTTTTGATATTCTGCACTGCTTCTTGAGCAACCCCGTTTTTAGAGGCTTCTGCCATCATTAGCAAAAAGGAAGTGTAAGATAGTATGATTTGCGCAGAAGTAACATAATCTATCCACGATGAATTTGAGTGCACGAGTCAGAGATCCAGATGAGAGATGAGAAGAATCAGTGTGAAAGTCGCGCTGCCCCATCTCTTAACACTGATTTACAAGTTCTTGGAATGAAACATTAAGGTACGCGAAGTGCTAATTGCTGATTAACTGGTATGTTTAACTATCATCACATTGTTTTCCTCAGGACTTGCATCAACCTCTCATGGAAAAAGCACGAATATTGATGTACCACTGAAATGTTTGTTTACACCACTCTTCAGATTAGTCGCGTATCAATTCATTGCAAAATGACAGGAAAAAGTGTATGAAAGATACTTACTAGCCAGTGCCTGACGATATGCTTGAACAAAGGACCTTGCCAATATTGTAGAACCCATGACAATCAAATTAGCAAGGATTTTTGCAGCCTGTAACAAGAACATGATTTTAGTGAAATATTCACAATAAGTCTTCTTTGCTTTCACGTATATCTAAATATGCCGTAAAAGCCCGTAACCACAAGGTTCATCAGAGCATACTGAAAAAGAATAGCATAATTCTTCTGATTTGTTCTGTTTTGTTGTCTTATTTTATGTTGGCTTGAGGGGAAATTGGCCATATTGTCAATTTTCTTCCGCCTTTAAATTCGGATACAATTGCTAAGTAAAGCGAGAGCCTCTCTTAGTGGGAAAGAATAAACTCTTAGACGAACAATTGTACAAGGGTAGAACTTGAACCTGGAAAATAGACCCAAGAGTGAATCTTAATTCTTTTTTCGCTGACCTAATCTCCTTGTCTACGACACAAAAACCTAGAGTGACTACTGACTACTATGATCACCTGAAAAGTTATTCACTGGCGAATAATGCAAGAAATGGAAGGGAAAATCACTACTAAATCCATTCCATAACAATACCAAGTCCATTCCCATCTCAATTATGCATTTATCTAGTGCCATGAAATTCCCCGCACTACACCACCAGATGTCTCATGTTCGAACCCTGAGAATGGGAAAAAATCCTAGTAAGGAGCGCTTCCACTATTTAATGGGCCTTACGCGGCGCAAATCTGGATTAATTGGTCCTCGGTGCGGGTACCGGCCACCCGGTGGGAAACAAAAAAAATTATTCATAGTACTGCAAGTATGCTGATAACCTAGTAATAAGCACATCTTTTAGCTTGAGTAGCATGTCTCTCAACTCATTCCAACTGCTGCTATGGATTTCTAACAACACCTCTACCAAACACCCTAAAAAATGAAGAAAGGAGAATTAGACAAACCAGTAATCCTTTCTCTCCAGGCTGAATTTCGATTAAACATATGTTGATATGCATTTAAAGTTGGTTTATAAGGTACATCTACAGTTTTTGCATTCCTCTCTCTTGCAAGCACGTTTTGCATGTGTAAACATCCAGAGATGCAACAAGGATCATAAGGCTATCAAGTTCATCAGATAATTGATAATTAAATCTCATTGAAATCCGCTAGGCTTTCAAGTTCATACAGATGAAGAGTATAAATGAGAAATCCTAATCTAACAAAAAACAGTTACTGGATATAACAGCTATTGACATCCATTTCTGAGTACATATATTCGACTTTGTTGGCAAACGAAACAACGATACAGGGTACAATTTATAAGGAAAATCCAATGGTAACAGGGTCCAGGGAGGGGCATAATGTGTATCACGCAAAACATAACACAAGTAAAAGCTCTGACTTACCATTGTGGAAGCTCGGTACAAGATAACGCAAATCAGGAAATTGGAAATTGAGTAACCTATAGCAAGACCAATAACCAGAGTAGATCAGTTGGAATTTAAACATGAAAGCTAAAAACTGTCGACACCAATAGCCATATAACATGAATGTCAAAATAAGCTAAAATCCAAACATCAAAAGTTAAACAATATACATCATGTAAAATCGTCCATGAGTTTTGAAGACAGTAAAGATACCAAGCATGCAGCAAACAAAACAAAATCATGCTGCAAATGAAACAATTAACTTCTCCGCAATAACACAGCAAAGACAACATGTAAAATAACTTATTTAACTAAGATAAAGGTAGTCTTAATCATCCATCCACTATTTGCGCTTGGCCAAATGCATAGGTGGCCCCTTAAACTTGTCAAAGAATTTCATTTAGACACCTTATCTTAGGGCCTAAACTATTGAACACTTAATCTATGTCCAAACGGTGTCTATTAGACACACACTGCTGACATTTTTCTTGAGGGTGCATTGCTTATTGAATTGGTGGGTGTGGAGTTTGTATTCTGGGGTTCGGATGTGAACTGAAAGTGCAGTCAACTAAGTGGAATGCAAGTAGAATCTTGTCTTTGATGATTTCTCTTTTAAGGGATTGGTGAAGTTGAGCTTCAGTATGATTTTTCTATTTCTTTCCTGGAATATTTGCTTTCAATTTCATTATACTCTTGTGTATAACTGTGTACCTATATGTATATGAACATATTTGAGAGTGTTTGAAAAGCAGGAGAGCAAGAAGGTTTAGAGGAAAAACAAATAGGCAGTGATGATGGTCGCCGGACAAATGTGTTCCTGATGTTCTTCTTTTACCGAAAACTTATACTACTACTAGTATGAACAAAGTAGGGGTAGAAGTTGAAAAAGCTATCAGCAACAATCTCTGATTTCTTCCTTTAAGCTCACAGCAAATTGGAGGGTGGGTATACCATGCAAGTAAGAAAAAAGGAAATGAAGGGAGAGAAAAGATTTTCTAAAAATATATAGATCCTTTTCTCAAAATTCTTTTTAAAATTATTTAGACTTAAGAAAAAAGCCATGTGGCATGGTCTCATCGTGATTTTGACACATCATTCGCGTGTGAGTTGCACGCTCTTTTAAAGGTTTGACAAGTTATTTATGAAGGGTTCAATAGGCACATTTTCAACTAACATCATGTCTAATAGGTTGTAGCCTTATTTCACGTGTCTAAATGGAATATTTAGACAAGTTAAAAGGGTCGCCGATGTATTCATTGCTTTGCATTTTATTCCACTTCTCTCTTTTCCTCGTACAAATTTTTCAACACAAACTGTCGTTGTTATCAATTTTCAATGACTTCTCCCATATTATAAATCCAAGACACAACAATTCACCATAACCAGTAAACCTAAAAGAATGTGCAAATGGGATAGTCTTGCAAAAAAGTCATAAGCTAAGTTGCTTGGACTCTTCACTTTCAGTGACATAACGGTGTTGACACGACATGCGTGTGGGTGTGAGTGTGGGGTCCATACCCGATCTGGTAAATCGATTTTGGGTACTTTGACAAAAATCGATAAAGAAATTCGAGACAGATACAATAATTTTGAAAACTAAACAAAATTTTGGGTACTTTGACAAAAATCGATAAAGAAATTCGAGACAGATACAATAATTTTGAAAACTAAACAAAATTTTGGGTACTTTGACACGACATGCGTGTGGGTGTGAGTGGGGTCCGTACCCGATCTGGTCAATCGATTTTGGGTACTTTGACAAAAATCGATAAAGAAATTCGAGACAGATACAATAATTTTGAAACTAAACAAAAGCTAGGGTGACCATAATTTAGGCATATGATCTTTTTAATTGTTAAAGATATTTGTATTAAAACGTCAGCAACCAGAAGGTGCTTTAAAGATATTTACCGGTCAAAGCACGGCAGAATGCGCAACGAACTCAAGAAGTCTATCATGGTCTCTATATCATTTGCAATAGCCGTGTTAAACCAAAAAAAGTGTACGGAGATGCATCTGTACTTAATAATAGTTACAAATTCAAACTTGCTCTCAAAATTTTGCATTCATTTCCTTCCAAATAGTCCACCACAATTTAGGCATATTTTTGTAACTCTATGTTTAGATCAGTGTTTTTAAAAATGACGAAGCGATCGCTTTACGCGAGAAGCGACGCGAAGCGATGGCTGCTCACTTTTCCATGCCTGAGGCGACTCGACCACACGAAGCGCTCGCTTCAGTCGAAGAAGCGAGAAGCAACCTTGAAGCGAGAAGCGCAGAATCGCTGCTTCTATTCAGAGGGGTCAGTTTTTTTAAGAAAAAGTTTGGGTCTGTTTTTTTATTATACAAAACAGACCCCTAAGACCAAAGTGAAGACCATTTCTCTCTTCTTCTCAAAATCAATTGTTGTTGAGTGCTGCTAGGGTTCAAGTCGCCAGAGACCTCCTCCGGTCCTCTAGGTAATTATTCTTCCGGGCGTCTGCTCACAGCTAGGGCAGGGGCGATTTTTTTTTCCTTTTTATTCTTCTTATTTAGTATTTTAGCCTTTATTTATTAATTTGTATGTGTATTTCAGTTTATAAAGTTAATTATGTGGTACCTACTTTAAAGTTTTTAAATTGAACTTTTTGATTATTTATATTGTGTCTTTGCAAGGTTTACCTTATGTTTTTTAAGAATTGCGCTTCACTTCAATGAAGCGTCGCTTCGTTTTGCGGCGAGCCCCTGTCGCTTTTTTGCGCTTCTCACTCTCAAAAACACTGGTACCAGACTCCAAGTAACTTAGGTCATAAGTTAAAGAACACTGTGAGATATCCAATAATGGACTAATCCGAAGGTCAAAAAGCAAACTGTTAGCATCATTTCATATGAGAAAAATTGTTAGCTAGCTCATAATGGGCATTCAAAAACTTGAAACTAGATGTTATGCCTTAAGGTTTATCTAAACTTGATTGACCCTTGAGGTGCCATCTATCTATCCTGTTACAATAAGAAAACCTATCTCCATCTACAAGTTGCTACTGTGAAAATGGTAAGATCATAATTAGACAATTTTGAAATATATAAAAGGAATAGACGGTTGTCTAAAGGCATAGGTGTGGAGTTTTGAGGCCATACAAATATTGGGTTTGGGGGGCTCTGTTCTTATTGTATATGGGTTTCCCCCTTTGGAACATTTTCTTTTGTAATGAAATATTTGCTTAAACAATAACTTGGGTTTACAATACAGTTGAAAACCTAGCTCCAGCTCACAGAATTCAAGCAGTAAATGATCAAATCATATCAATCAATAGCCAAAAAATTTAAAAAAAAATAAAAATAAATAAACCAAAGATACAATTGAGAAATCAACATGTCACTATCCTGACTATGAACCCACCCAAGAACCCAAAAAGCCCACAAATCTTCACACACGTGAAAATTCAAGGGACTTATCCACATGAGTTGAACACTCAATTGAAAGCAATTGTAGACCATACCTTGATCTTGTTGAAATCGAGTGATAGATTGACGAGGAAAGACGACGAAGGGAAATTTCAGGGCTTTGAAAAATTAATGAAATTTTTCTTGGATTAGAGGATTTTTGGGCATTCTTTTGTTTTCTTTCCTTTCCCCTTTTTACTTGTGCGGTAAAAAACAGGCGTGTTCAATTGTTATTCCAAGAAATTTATAATAATAATATTAATAATATTAATATTGATAATAATAATAAAATCAACAACATAACGATGATAATAATAATAATAATAATAATAATAATAATAATAATAATAATTAAATGCCCATAGCGATAAAATTATTTGCATTCTATGTTTACAACAACTCAATGGCTATATCAAATTTGTCCTCATATATATCATTGCTACTAAATTATTTATAAATATATAATGGCAAAGAACTCACGGCGATCTCTGGAAAAACCAAATGCTCCAGAAAGATAATGAACACATAAAATAATCGGAAAAAAGGGTTAGAAATGCCCTTAACGTATTATAAATGGCTCATAAATGCTCTCCTTCTACATATGGGTTCAAATTTGCCCTTAATGTTATTTTTAGGCTTAAAAATTTCCCTCTCTTAACGGAAAGATGGCATGGCATTGATGGACATTTTAACATTAAGGGCAAATTTGAATACATAGGTGGAATGAGGGCATTTTTGAGCCATTTCTGATACGTTAAGGGCATTTCTGATCCTTTTTCTTTTTAATTAAACATGTAGCATTTATTTAGTCTGGAAGAAAGTGATTTTTTTTTTACTAAAAACTGAAAAAAATGAAAATATTTTTTTTTTCCAGTTTTTACAAGAAAAACTGCTTTTAAAAAAGCTGAAAAATATTTTCTAAAATAATATTTTTATAAAAACTGAAAAAAAACTGAAAAGCAATTTTCTAAAGCAATGTTTTTGTAAAAGCTAAAAAAAAATATTTCCTCTTCTTCTTCCTTCCCTGTTTGTTCATATGCTTTCTGAGTTCATTTANTTTTAGTAAAAACAAATTCACTTTTTTTCCGACTAAATAAATGCTACATGTTTAATTAAAATATCATTTTTTCAAAACTCAGAAAGCCAATCTATTCCTAAATAAATGTAACATGTTTAACTAAATAAATGCTATATTTTTCGAGACTAATAATTTTTTTTTTTACTAAAAACTGAAAAAAACGAAAATATTTCAGTTTTGATATACTAACTCATTAGAAGAACTAAAATATATATAAAAAATAAACTCATAAAGCATATGGACAAACAAGGAAGGAAGAAGAAGAGGAAATATTTTTTTTCAGCTTTTACAAAAACATTGCTTTAGAAAATTGCTTTTCAGTTTTTTTTTCCAGTTTTTACAAAAATATTGTTTTAGAAAATATTTTTCAGCTTTTTTTAAAGCATTTTTTTTGTAAAAACTGGAAAAAAAATATTTTCATTTTTTTTCAGTTTTTAATAAAAAAGTTCACTTTTTTCCAGACTAAATAAATGCTACATGTTTAATTAAAACGGAAAAGGGTCAGAAATGCCCTTAACGTATTAGAAATGGCTCAAAAATGCTCTCCTTCCACCTATGTGTTCAAATTTTTCCTTTTACAATGCCCATCAATGCCATGTCATCTTTCTATTAAGAGAGGGGCATTTTTAAGCCTAAAAATAACATTAAGGGCAAATTTGAACCTATAGGTGGAAGGAGAATATTTTTGAGCCATTTCTAATACGTTAAGGACATTTCTGACCCTTTTTATTCAACATATGCGTCATAGCGATTAAAACGAGAGTGTCCCTTTCACCGGGACAAACAACCCATTTATGATATATATATATATATATATTAAAGTATGTTTAGATTACTATTTAATGTTTGCACCCTTTGTCACAAAAGGGCTATGGGTGTAACCGAATTTCGGAACTAACTTATAATCCTGTATTCGATTATGTTAACAAGTACTTAGTGGCTATCTTAATTATATCATCTGTATACCAAATCAAACCAATTTGTTAGTGGGTCCTTAATTGTTTAGATTTAATTAGCACATACATAATCCATTTTATAAGAATGAACGCAAAAATTCTCATTTGCAAGATGCCAATTACCAATAGGAAAAGATGCAAGTGTATTAGAGATTGAATGGAGCCCATTTTATGAGCTAAGAATTTATTGAGCTAGTTTTTACTGTTTTTTTTTGTTCCTTGTCTTATTTGGTACCCACATTGCGCTGCGTAAGGTCTATTAGAGTAAAGCGCTCCAGTAGCTTTTACTTAAAAAATATAATTGTATTAGATATCATACTATATTATAAGTATGGAGAATAAAAGTTAAATGTGAAAGACAAAACTGACCCTACATATTATTAGACTTTTCTGCCCTTAAAAGTTATATACTTTCAATATTAATAACAAAGTTAGTTTTGTAACATTAAATTTGACTTGGAATCATCAAAGAATTTATTAAGGTATATATATCTAAATTCTTCACTTTACAAAGATAAGCTCTTTAACTTCCCATGCGTATAATAATTTTTTTAAGCTAACATTTACGGTTCATATCTTTTATCTTCTCCTTTTATTTTTCTTTGCTTACATATTCAGATTGTTATTATTTCTAATGCAATTCTTTTCTTATAAATGCAATCATGATTCAAAACGTTTTACCATCCATGTAAAAAATGATACAATTTTTTCAATTTTGTACTAATTATATGGGATAGACGCGCAACGCGCGTGCCCAAGGACTAGTTCATTAAATAAGTACATATATTAAATTAGAACCCAATTATTAATATTTTTAGTGCTTGTTTGACACGAGGGATAAGAGATAATTAATCACGAAATTAAAGGTGAGATAATTTTATCTCACGTTTGGTTGAGATAAAATCACAGTATAACTAGTGTTATTTTTATCCCTACGGGAGGATGAAATAACAATCTCATAATAGTGCATCCTCTGATAATTTGTTTCCAATCAAACGACCCCTAAATCGTCATCCTTCTAAAATCTAAAACTCAAAAAATTAAAATCATCGCTCTGCTTCTGATTATTAGAAGCAAAGGAAGACTATTGCTACTTAGAATTAAACCTTTGGTCATCATTTTGTTAATTTGCTCACAAGGATCAGAAAAATTAAATAGAGCTAGCTAACAAGGTTTCATATTGAAGGGAATATTGAAGCAACGATTAAATTGTCTCCGTATGACCTATAGGTTACGGGTTCGAGCTAGCTTCTAATATATACACCTTGCTTAAAGGCTAACAAATTGTCTCCGTTAACAACGATTAAAGGTTTTTAGTGTTCAGGATGCTAAGTACTTTAAATTAATCATTTTCAAGGTGTATACATATACATATATAACATTTCTGTCGAAACTTACGGAATCCGGTGACCGCTCACTATAACACATAGGTCCGCCTCTGGCTAGATGTGCTTATGTTCGCTCACGGGCCACTTTTTAGCCTTATTTTTATAAAAAAAAAAATAACTATTGTCCTGCAGTAGTTTCAATTGTAGAATTTGAAACTCTAAAACAGAGGCTATATTTTCAATTACAGGGGGAGCGAAAACGTGTCATTTTGTCAATTTTACCTTCCAGAAGGACCTCTTGATTGAAAGGGCCTATGGCTACTGCTACCATTGAAGCTGTTTAGATTAATTAATTTTCTCTTCTACCTAATAATTCATGCAAAGTAATGTCTATGGAGTTCTAATATGTAGTTATGATTTTACCTATATTATTTTCTCTGTGTTGGATAAAACAATGTGCTACTTAATAAAGAATTATGTACATATAAAATTGTAACATTTAAGACATTATTGTGTGAAAGAAATATGAATTGGAGTAGTTGCAGAAAAGTTAAAGATTCAAGCCGAAGAAAACTAACTAAACTATGTAGTATTGATTATTTCACGTTCAGAAGCAAAATACAACCTCTCTACCTTTGCAAGATAAGGATAGGATTGCGTATATACTAGCCTCTAAAAATAAGTAAACAGAAGTATCAAACAACCACGGGATGGGGAGGAGGAGGGGGAGGGGGTGGTGGAGATGATAGTGTTGTAGAATAGGGGTCGTGGTTCCTCCCAATAGTCTCGAGGAGTTTGGACAACATAACTTTAATCACCCTCGTGTGTTGTTCTAATTCGACGAATTGAGCTCTTATTTGTTGAAGTTCTCTCTTAATTTCCTCCACATCTTGATTTCTTGCCCACAGTACATGTTAAATTTAAGACATGCTTCGGAACTTTCATTACCGTGACTTTTAAATCTTAGGCCCGCCTCGTATATATTATAATAGAATAGATCCTCACCTCTTGAATTAGCAAATCGGCGAAATGGTAAGGTGGTGGATGGACAAAAGGAGGGGGGCGAGAAGCAGATCGTGTAGATGCAATCTTTCCGTATTTTGAGATGATATGTATAGTACAAAAATCAGGAACGCCTTTTAATACGCCTCCTGGAATGTCTTTGGCTTTAAATCTGCAATGCAGAAGGCTACTGAAATTAGACTATTTGAAGAGTTTCATCAAAAGATGATTCGACATCATGATGCAAAATAAGTTCTTATATAACAAGCCTAAAGGTTTCTTTTTGATGAGATCGATATCGATGATTGTATCGGGGCCAAACTAGATAGAGTGCTCTTTTTGAACGGGGACAACTTGCTTCTATATAAAAGCCATTTTGCTTTCACTGCAGAGTTGACCATTTGCCTAGAGTAGTGGTGAAAATCGAATGTTTTACAGCAAATCATATCAAATTACCATAGGCAAGTGATTGAATGAGGTAAAAGTATATGTAACAATGATTAGGAGAGAAAAGTGTGTATACGAACACAATGCATCTAGTATCGATTTGATGTGAACATAAAATGTGAATAAATTTGTACCGGTACGAGTAAGATATTTTATTCAAATTTAATTCATCAAATGAAACATTAGTAGAGCTCTAAAGGTATGCACATGTACATACACCTTTTCCCCTTATCTTTCTAGTCACAAAACTTTTGAAAAAATATTTCAAGCCAAGGCTGTAGCATATTTATGCACTAATATCTACATATTCCTATGGTGAGTTTAGAAAGATGAGCATTATTAATAATAGTTTAATATATATCATAACATGTTAGTTACATAATTTTATCAGATTAT